CTCTACGCCTAACCTCCATGTTGCTCACCTTATTATGCCACTTTACACGGGAAATAGAACGCAGGCACCTATGATCAAAGACAGCTAGTCTTTTCATGTCTTCCACTCTCAGTGGCCAGGTCTCACAACCATAAAGGAGGACGGAGCGGACTGATGAGCAGTACACCCGCCCTTTGGTCGATAGTCGAACATCTCGTCTACGCCAGAGTCGGCGTAAACTAACAAATGCGAAACGAGCCCCTTGTATTCGTGCTGAGATTTCGTCAGAGATCAGCCCGTTGGGGCTGATGGTACTTCCCAAATAAGTGAAGCGGTCAACGTGCTCTACCACTTCACTTCCTATTTTTAAACTAGGCGTCGATGTAGTCCAGTCCTGTAACATCATCTTGCATTTGGCGGGAGCGAATCGCATGCCAAACATTCGTAGATTGCGGCTCAAGGTGTTTAGAAGACTCTGCATTTCGTCAGCGTCTTCGCCTAGAAGGACTATATCGTCTGCATATTCCAAGTCAACGAGATTATTCCCCGGTAGCAAGTCAATCCCTGAGTCGCTGAAGTCACCTAGGGTTAAGTCCATTAACACATCTATGATGAAGTTGAATAGAAAAGGAGATAATGGGCATCCTTGACGGACACCACTGGTCGTCATCAGTTCAGATGACAGCTCGCCGTAAGCCCTCACCTGGCTGTATGAGTACGAGTAGAGTGCCTTAATCAGTGCAATATATTTTCTTGGAATTCCCTTTACAGCCAAGCATCTCCAGAGAACTTCCCGATCGACAGAGTCGAATGCTGCCTTTAGGTCAAGAAATATAATGACTGTTGGACGCCGGTAGGAATGCCTATGTTCTAGAATCTGTCGGAGGGTGAAGATATGATCAATACACCCTCTTCCTGGTCTAAAGCCTGCCTGGCTCTCTCGTGTTTGTGCTTCCCGAGCACCACTCAGTCTACGCATGATTATTGAGCCTAAGACTTTAGATACTATATTAGTCAAGCTAATCCCTCTGTGATTATCACAGGAAGACTTGTCTCCCTTCTTGTATATGGGGATAATCAGTGACTTACACCAACCCGATGGGACTTCTTCTGATTCCCAGACGCTGCCTAGTACCTCAGTTAATCCGGACAGTAAGCTGTCTCCACCGTACTTAAATACCTCTGGAGTCATTCCATCAGGTCCCGCTGCTTTGCCTAGTTTCAGATTGGTGACAGCTTTAGTAACCTCAGTTAGTGACGGAGGACCTGTGTCTATATCCCATTCAGGGAGGTGTTGGATGCTCGGAAGGTTGAGCGTGGCTGTGGGCAAATTAAACTGCTCCTCATAATGCTCTTTCCAACGATCCAGTCGTCTATCCTGGGAGCTAATTATAGTGCCATTTTTTTCCGAGATTGTCTCACTGATGATTTGTCTTCTCCCACCCGTTTCCCTGATGAGTCCAAAGAGTTGCCTGGTGTTGCCTATCCTCGAAGCTTTCTCCATCTCTTTGGCTTTTGTCGCCCACCACTGTTCACGGTCCTTGCGGAGACTTTTCGTAAGTTTCCTCTTGTGCAGCTTTCGCTCCTCATTGAATTCGGAGCTCGCCGGAATAAGTCTTCTAGCATCTATCAGTTCGGATGAGGCGGTGGAGATCCAGTGGTTTTTACTCACCTTTGGGTTTACCTTATTCACAGCTTTTACAGCTGTATCTATGGCTGCCTGGATATTTTTCCAAGCTTCTTCAGGGTGAGCACAGCTGTCGAACACAGATATGTGTTTAGCTAGTTCTTCCTCAAATACGGATTTAGTTTCCTGATCGAGCTGGGGACGTGATGGTTTTACCGCCAGCTGTTTCCTACGTCCGTTCAGTCGTAAGCACACCCGAGCGCGGACCAGTGCATGGTCGGTATCTACGCACGTGTTCCAGAAGGAGCGACAATCTCCTACCGACCCACGCCAACGATAGCTTATTGCTATGTGGTCTATTTGTGTCCAGCGTTGGTTTGATGAAGGGGGTCTCCAAGTCAAACAGTGTCTCTCCTTGTGTTTGAAGTTAGTGCTTACAAGAAACAAATGATTATCAGAGCAGAACTGTAGGAGACGGTCACCGTTGTCGGTTCGCTGGCACGGAACTCCATAGGTGCCACCGACATCCTTCTCAGATTGACACAATTTCCCTACTTGAGCGTTAAAGTCACCAGCTAGAACGACTATGTCTGAGCGTTTAGCCTTTCCACCAAACTAGACAGCTTTTGGTAGAACTCATCCTTCGTTTCATCTGAACTGCAGTCAGTGGGGGCGTAGGCGGAGATTACGAAAAGGCATCGGCGAGTAGTGCAGTCCTTCCTCCTTCTTACTGATCCGTTCAGGCGGACAGCACACATTCGGCTATCTACCGGGATCCAGTCAAGCAATGTCTTTTCTGCCCTAGTACTCAAAGCTATCCCTACGCCAGCTAATCCTCGTGAACTAGCTGTGGCATCTCCTGACACCCTCAAGGTGAATTTTGCAGATTCAACCTGTTGGCCAGGTGGGGTTAGGTGAATAACCACACTTGGGTCTTGTATGCGTGTTTCTGAAACACAGCATACATCAATGGCTCGTGATGCCAGGGTCTTGGCTAGTGATGCTTGTTGTCCTATTTGGCAAAGTGTCCTAACATTAAGAGCTCCTATATGAAATTGGTGGCGCGGCTTTAAGAGGCTGTCGGTGGTGGTTTTTTGGCTTCCATCGTTTTTAGTGGACGCAGAGTGGAGAGGAAGTGGAGAGCTATCAAGTCGAGGAGTTGCATCAGTGGAAGGAAGGCAAGATGATAGAGATGAAGATGAAGACAAAGATGAGTGAGTAATAGAGAGGTTTCGTGTGCATTTCGGATTGTGAGGGCGATTGTTACTTCCCGGCTGCCCACACCGTGGAAGTTGGTTGCGTGACCGCAGAGCCCAGGGGACAACTGCTTGAGGCCGGTCACACGCGGCCTGTCTTTGTTTGTTCTTTTTGTTTTGTGTGTCTCAGTAGCATATTTATCACTCCTGCCCTGTGACACGGCAGCAGGAAGCGCGGTCGTTGTTAATCCGGGCCACGGCCGATCCGGCATGAAATTTTGTGATTTTGTATTGGACATGATGTTGGATTGGGTAGCTGCTTTTTGTTTAACCGCTATCCAAACAACCTGCCTGGCATGGTAGACCTCAAGAGACATAAGTCTCAGCCAGTATAGCTTGATTAGGTCATTGCGGTGTTCAAGCCCGACCACCACGTCAAGGTAGAAGCTTTCGGTCGGGCAAAAGTGAGTTGCATGCCATCTGCCACTGAGTTCATATACGTGAGGAACTGCTTAGACTTCAACACAGTGGATGTGTCATCTACATATCTCCACCATAATGTAGGGACAGGATTAAAAGTTCTGAGGAGATTATGTTTCTAACTATGCATAAGTATGTCTTCTACTATTTCTCAGAATGTCGGTCGTCCCATTGTCATCCACTCTCATGGCTTTTGTTAATTTATTACATCTCTACTCATCACTGAAAGATAGGGAAGCCGCTAGGATGATATTGATAGCACATGACCAAACCACCAAAACTAGTGTACTAAGATAATATTCTCATCTCCTGCCACTGTGAACATGCGACACTACTTATACAAAGACCTCACGATATACACACAGTCCTACGCAGAAAGTGATGATGGAACACAAACGTCCAGAGAGAATCAATAACTTATAAGAGCAGAGTTTCATAAGTGTAGAAAAAGGCTGTATGCATTACGTCTTTTTATACCCATCTTTTAACTATATGAGGCTACAACTCAGACCGCTGTTAGAGTAAGCGGACTACCCTGTACCGCTTTGAAACTTTCCAGACTACTAGAAATTTCACCTGTTGTATTTATGTTATGTTTGATGAGTGTTCATACGACTAAGGTTAACAATAATGCCTAGTAGATCTTCCCTCATACAAACTGGCTATTTTAAGTAGACTCACGTATTAAATATTGGAAAATGTTTCGTTTCAAACGAGTGAGTGAGTGAGTGGAAGTGTAATTATAAATTTATAATTACAGAAGTAAGTATCACGGACTAATCATATACTGCAGTATAGAGCAGATTAATGAGTGACTGTCAACGCAGTGATATCTGATTATCAATTATTGGTTTATAGATTATTTGATTGATTGGCTAAAGAGTCCGAAATTAAGATGAAACATCTGCCCAGTACTCGCCGTTGGTTTTCCATTGGCTAGCGTTCGCGCTATGTCGTGAATTACCTGGCAGAAGTTGGAATTCATGGGCTGGCCATTGAGTCAGTCGAGTTTCAGTGGCCCGGTGGTCTACGAGCTCGCTAGCGTTGTAACCAGGAGGTACTGGGTTCGAACCGTGGCGGTGAGTGCGTACTGTTGAAGAAACAGTCCAGTCCTGTCCAGTACTCTATGGCAGGTTCTCCAAAGGTTCTGTAACTGTTGTCAGCTCATTGTGAAATCTGATTAGGTGATTATGTGACTAATATGAAGGAGTCTATCAGTGAGACGGAATCTGATTAGTTGACTATCGGATTTCCACTATCTTAATTCTGACTATCGATCTAGTCTATGGTTACACATAACATCATTCATAAAGCTATCTGAATAGTACTGTGTATTCACATCAACCAGTAGTACTCGCTAGCCAGCTAGATCAAAGCGATCTAAACAACTGGGAGATATTTTACTCTTTTGGGACCCGGCTCATCCGATGTGATCCAGGTTTGAATCAGCTCAGAGAGTCGAATCCATGAAAAAACCATCTGGATAACTGATAACACAATAAATCAAATTCCTGTCTCTGAACTGAGTCAAATCATGTCCTGCTCTCACATGCTCGAAGCTTAACAAGCCATACGGCAGTTTCTTATGTTTAGATTGCTGTTTAACATTCATTAGTCTCATATCGTCTGTACGAATAATAATCTAAATATCTCTTTAACTAATCACAATTATTTACTTCGTAAACTTACACTACTCATGAGTAATATAGATTGAATTTATGAAAATCAACAAATAATTTATTGATAATAAATATTTTGTTTACTTTGTTTCGGTTAAGAAGAAAATAATAATAATAACTTTCTTCCACCTTTTCAGCTAGAACTTTATCAGTGGAATAAAAAGTGAACAATAGTTGTAGTTGAAGATAATATGAGAAATACTGAAGCACCATCCTGTATTTGGCTAGAGAAGCATAAAAACAACAGAATGTAGCGCTTAAAATTTAAAAAGAGCGCCAAAAAAGTAGGCAAATAAACTAACAAATAATTAAGTAAAACAATAAATGAATACAGGGGTACCAATGATGATGATGATAATAATAATAATTGAAGGCACTTTGATTGAAAAAGACAGAAGGAATGCCGTGGAAATCCGTGACTTCAGGTGTACGAATAGACAGGTAGATAGATAGATAGATAGATAGATGGAGAGATAAGAGTGGAGAAAGAAGGCAGGGAACCAGGGTAAAATTGTCTCAGTATTAAAAATGTAAGAAGCAAAAGGCAATGGAGAGAAAGGACGTATATATTCTCAGGATAACATGATTTTTGTCAAGTTAAAAGATCACAATTTTCGGTGTTTTTGTCTATGCATGATAATCTGTGTTTTTTTTATCAAATGAAAGATGTTTTTGTTTATAATCAAAGAAAATGATGAGAATAAAAATAATTAGAAGCGATTTAAACTTTTTTTTGTAAAAAAGAAACGTTTTTGTTGCTGTTGTTATTGTGTTAAATTATTATTTACAAATATTGAACAAGTGTATAATTGAATGAATTGAATATTGAACTGATGATTAACTGTGAAGCGCACTTTTCAAAAGGAAAATAAACCACAGATTTTTTTTCTTTGAATTCTTCTCTGTCTGCTACTGATAATAATAATAGTAGTAGTATGTGTATGTGTGATTGTCATGGATTGAAAAGGAATTCTTACTGATTTACACGTGATACTTGATGGAGTAGATCTGCTAGGCGTAGAAAACGTTTTTCAATCTCTGGATGTTTTAGAATTTCATTAATTGGACTGAAATATGTGGATCTAAACAAGAAAGAATGAAGACGGAAGAAAAAAGTAAGGAGTATTATTATTATTATTGACAATTATTAAGCATTATTCTTTAGTTTCATCTGTTCATTTTTTAATATGAAATCTTAGGATATATAAATGAACTCCAGACATTTACCAACTCTATTTAGCGGATATATGTATCACAATGCTACATGTCAAGTAGTCCGCGTAATAGAAAACTCACAGAAGATTTTGAACTGAAGACAAAAGTAGGAAAAGGCTGCCTACCATCGCCGATGATATTCTCAAGAGAGTGCGGAGAGAGCAAGAAGACAGGAATACGTTGGACTGGTAAAATGACTGTAAAATATCTCTGAACTTTGATGATGCTAGATAGTTGGAGGCAATCGGCCACAAAAGCCCTACCTGACCTAGGTTTTATGATAGTCGGCACTCACCAGTCACAGAAAGGCGTATCTACAACCTTGAATAGCTCATTGGTAACGTCTCTGACTCACTGCAGCACTGGGTGACGCGGGTTCGAATCTCAAAAGGGACATGAGCTCCTTCAAGGTTGCAGACACGACTTCCCGACGAGTGACAACTAGGTCAGGTAAGGTTTCCTGTAGCCAATTGCCTTCAACTATCTAATATCATCAAATCAATATGCAGCATGATGACGAGCTACCTAGAATGATGACCACATTGCAAACCTGAGTAATCGAATTCATTGTGCACTAAACAGCAAGGACTAGACACGTCGCACTAGTTACTAGTGTCCAATCAAGATATCTGGAATTTGTGAACGATTTACGTCTAATTTCACACAAACTTAAAGCTCTATAGATGAAAAACAGCAGGCCGCAAGAAGAACCAGCAAAGATACGACTACAGTTGAATATAGAGAAGACATAAAAGATAAAGGTACTCACTAGTCAACTAACGACAACAACAACAACACTGAGCGCGTTAATCACTGTTTAGTTGGCGGAATTTTGAATGAGATCACTTCATGTGAAAACCAGAATTGTAAGGGCAAGACAAAGATGCCTTCATCACTCTGAAGTCAGTTTGTAAATCTGCTAGACTTGAAATAAAGAACTAGATTCAGATTTTAATTGGTGGATGGTGACTAGCAGTGGAATTCACCAGGATAACGTGCATTTCGTCCTATTTGGTACTCATCACTTGGATGTACCTGGGGAATGAAGGCACATCCGGATGACGAGTCCCAAATAGGACGAAATGCGCGTTATCCTGGTGAATTTCACTGCTAGCCACCATCCACCAAATTAACCTGTAATTACATGCCCAGACATCATCGAAGCATCTGCACAAGAAGCCGGCAGACATGTCAACCTGAGACTGAGAAGCACTTCGGTCCAATCAATCGACAGGTAAATCTAAAATTTAATTAAGTAAGATTCAGATCTTCAACACCAAAGTTAAGTCATCCAGTTGTTTTATATATGTGTCACAAACATGGCGCGTCACATAAAGCACTTCCAACAGGACATTGTAAACATGGAGGAGGTCGTGTGAGGAGAAAATGGAAGCTTAAGGGTAGCCGTGAGGCTGGTTAAACAGGACTGCAGAGAACAGGATGGAGGAGAGGCCTGCTGTTAAAAGCCTATGTTACACTTAGAACCCAATGGAATAGTAACATTATATATATATATATATATATATATATATATATAGTGTACAATTCTTTTTCAATGTACACCTAAACTGTACACACTGTATTTGATTTAGATAACTTTGAATGGGCGAAAGAAGAAGATAAGCTTTAAGATAGATTACCAGCTAACATGAGTTAGGAAACCGTTTCAGCCTGTCCAGATAGTCCTGGACAGCTATCAACGGTTCAACCTTTTAAGATAAAAGTTCTTGGTTAGATCGATCCTTGATGGGATTATAACGGCGTACTGTTAAAAAATCCCTAATTAGAACGAAACGGCTGTTTAGTACTCCCTAACGGATTTCAGATCGTGATCTCAAGTTCTCACGATTAAAACGATGGATAATAGATGAATGGGCGCTTTGTCTATACCATCATGAATAACATGAGATATCATTTATTTTTTGGTGACGAGTTATGAACTCGTGTTTCATCCTACCTAAGACTCGTCATCTGGATCTATATGCTCTCCCAGTGAGTGGTCGTGTCCCTAGAATCAATCATCCATCCTACCAAACACCAAGGAGTTATTCATTAGTCCTGTGGACCACAAGAATCACACCTTAGCGTTGAAAACGACGTATACTGCCTTCTAGTGTTAATACGAACATCGTCATATGGGATATAAGTGATATTAAGTAGTTATAGGCAATCGGCACAGGAAGCCCTACCTGACCTAAGTTTCGTGTTAGTTGGCACTCACCAGTCAGTCAGCAAGGCGTGTCTGCAATCACCTTGAAAGAACTTATGTCCCTTCTGAGATACGAACCCGCGTCACCCAGTGCTGCAGTGAGTCAGAGACGTTACCACTGAGCTATTCGGCCTCGCCATTGACCTCCTGTAGGACTGTAGGGGGTAGTCTGATTGGACACTAGTAACTAGTATGACGTGTCTAGTCCTTTCTTTAGTGCAGACTGATGTAAGTCGGATGATGAGTCCCACGTGGGACGAAGCAGATTTCATAGATTCACCTGTGATACATATATATGCATACATACCATCAACTAATTGACAGCTTTATAAAGTTTTAAGAAATCAAAATATTACATGCGAATACAACAAACCGAATTAAACTTACTCATCTCTATCCTCTTTCACTTGTTGATTTTCTTCATTTGAACTAGTACTCGAATTCATTGATGCCATAGTTAATTGATTTGCATAATGAAGATTCTCATTCTTCGCAACAGTTTCATGTATCATATCAGTTAGATGAGTGATAACATCATCGTTATGTTCCATTCGAGATTCACCTTCTTGATTCACCCTGATTTCAACATCACCATTTCTATCACTTTTAGAGTATTTCAAATTATTATTATTACTAGTAGTAGTATTATTACTATTATTACTTTCATTAATTTGTGATTTATTTAATAAACCCAATACATCATCTAGTAAACTAGCCAATTGTACAACTGTCCCAGTTTTATTCTTTGTTGTTATCATATGTTGACTAGTGTGTTGATGTTGATGACTTGGTGACCTTTGAAAGCTGTTTAAATTTGAATTGATTTTCGCGCCATTATCGCTAGGCTGATTTAAACAAACCAAATTTCGAAATGGTCTAGATTGATGATATTGGTGTTTCTGTTCATGTTCCGAGGGGAATGAATTAGGCGTTTTCGTCTTTAAATCAGTTGAATGAGATTCATGTCTTAGATTTTGATAATGTTTATTTATAATTCGATGACATTTTAATGAATTACGATAAACGAAACTGGGAAACTCGGACAAGTGCTTCTGATCTTCTTCAACGCGTGTCAGTTTAACTTTTGAAGATGTTTGACTAGTGGTAGCGTGTTGATTTTTAGGCTCATTTCCAAAAATCGGGTTATTCTCTTCTGTTGATTGTATTAAATGTTCAGGGGTGTAGTCATCATTCGGGATTGTCTACAAAGATAAAAAATGGAACAAAATTATGAATAATTCTCGTTTTATAGGTTAACGGAAATCTCCAACGAAGATTTAATAGCAATGATGTGATGGTGTCTGACTCTGAATTTCTCCATATCTTGAATTCCAAAGAGGATGCTCGAAATCGCTTGGAAAGAGGTTTTGCACAGACGACTAGATAGTCATACATACTAAGCGATGTCATACACTTATTGAGTTACAAATAAACATAACGGAAAAGCAAAGAATATCCTCTTCGATAATTTCCTCCGCTTCTGACTCTACAGTCATGTATATATTTATATACATATAATATTTTAGAATAGTAGTCAATAACAATTTTGCTCTAGGAACTTGATTTTTCGTGCTCACTAGAGAACATTTCCCACTATGGCTAAGTAAAGGTGTAGTTAAAACCATTAACAATTCGATATTGGACCATCTGGTACAAACCGGCCGGCCACAAAGCCAGCCAGCGTGGAAGTATCCTTCTCTATCATCATCCACCGGGTGGTGCCTAATAAATTCCCAAATCATCGAAACATGACCACTTTGTGCAATGTCTTCTTTGATGAGTTACTGTCTCACCTTCAACCTGTTGTAACCTACTGGTCACGGTTTCCCACTAGAACCCCAAGTAACTAACTACCTGAATATAGGGCCAGTTGCTAGTAAGCATTGGATAACTTTTCAAGTATTGTTTTTGTAGGGCAGTGGCTTAATGATCTACAAGCTAGCTCGCTAGCCTTGTAACCAGAAGGTCCTGTGTTCAAACAGTGCTGATGAGTGCGTACTGTTGAAGGGCCCCAAAATGGACTGACTGAGGAAACAGCTGTTCAGTGCTGATGTCAGCGCATGATAAAATCCTCCAACCAACCAATCAAACAAAAAATCCCCACAAAACCAATACTTGAAAATTGATATTGTCAACAACAACGACAATAATTCCTTAATTATTATATGGCTATATAAATGTAGAACCTTGATAAAGAAGAATAGCTTATCGAAACTCTGAATACTCTTTGCTCATTTATGTGAGACTTTCAAATACAAGAAATGAATTAATTAATATATATCTTACCTTGGAAATAGCATTTTTCTGAGTTTCATACTTCGAAGCTTCTTCTTCTTCTTTAACCATTCCGCTCATAACAGCTTCTTGCCGTTTAAACAATTTTATTGGTTGTCGTTTATCATAAGAACTGAAACGAAGTCGATGACGAGGATCACGACCATCCTCCTTTCCAACTGAAAAATGTATTCTTGGCAGAAGACATTTTGTTAAATCGGCAATAGTTTGTTTATTATTCGCGCTCACTTGTTGATGATAATGTCTTGTATAGGAATGAAATATAAAAGATCTCCATGATTGCAGTTTAACTGTACAAAATTTACATGTGAATTTTATCAACTGTCTATGTCTTTTTCGAAATAACGATGATGATGATGATGATATCTTCTTTTTATTCAAATGATTCTTTGACAACTGTGATGATTTTCTTATTTCACCACTGCTGGTACAACAATCCTCTTGTGTACTACTATCCTCCTCTAAAGTGTCAATGGCTAAATTCAGCGGGCTTGATTGTGAAGATAAAGAAGGTTTATTCGCCAGAGAATTTCTATTACTATCCTCATCGTCTAAATTATCGTCATCATCAGCATCGTCGGGACCATCGTGAAGTGATCGGATTTCTTGTTCATCATCATCAGCCTTCATGATGACATCATTCGACGATACAGGCTGCTGCTGATGATGATGATGTTCGGTGTTACCATCACCACCACCAGTGATGAATAATGAGGCAGGTGATAAATTCATATTTGATTCAGATGAACTACAAATACTCGGTTCAAATTTAATGCCTAATTCTGATCGACGAATATGCTGTTGGTGGTGTTGGTGTTGCTGTTGCTGTCGTCGTCGACTTTTATACTGATGTATTGTACGTCTAGCCTCTTCAAGACTTAATGTTTGTACTTCACCATTTCCATTGTGAATTTGTTTAATATGCTTACCAACATCCCATTTCCAATTACTTCTAAAAAAAAATAAGAAAAATACGGGGGGAAATAATTTCAAATAGAAATAATTGGTGACCGAATTTCAACACATAGAAAGGGTAGACGTATCCGTGCCACTGAGAATTGTTTCTAGCCATATCAACGAATATCTCCAGGTAGTATATCTTACCATACCGAGGTACCCAACCAGGAAACCAGTCTACACCTTCATACTCGGTTGGCTCGAACTAACTCTGAAGGGTTTCATGGTCTGATGGATGAAACCATGTTCTGTTTTGACCACCACTAACTAACTCTCTTCCAAATTAATCCCATGTCAGCTAACATTGTAACGACAGAAGAAAAAGGCCAGGCAACAGATCGTTTATGGAGAAAATCAACAGACATTTATCGATTTTTATGTGCATTAGTATTCGATATTGTTAGCAGAGAAACAGCGTCTTCTGATTGGTTGTTTTCTCACTGTCATCTCTTTGTGGCCATTTCTTTGAAGGTCAGACCATATATCTGCGAATCATATCCGCCTACTCAAAGTCTACTGTGATTGGTTGTTGAGTTAGTCTTTGTTCTTGTTCTTTTCTCATGACCAATATTTTGGAACTAAACATTGACGTAAATAGCTGTCTACCAATTTTGGCGGTTAGCAGACAGCTCTCACCACAACATTACCCTCTGAGGAAGGCCATGGCTGCTAGACATGCGTAACACATATATGTGCAAACCATATCAATCAATGTTTAATGATAGAAGACAAGGGCCAGGCAATAGATCGTTTATGGAGAAAATCATGAGTTATTTATAGACTTTTATGTGCATTATTGTCAGTGGAGAAGTAATGTCTTCTGATTGGTTGTTTTCTTGCTGAAGGTTATTCTCTACTGGTTGTGACCGATTCTCAGAAAGTTAAGCCATATATCTGCGAATCCTATTTGTACACGTCAAGTTTGCTGTAATTGGTTGGTGAGTTCCTCAAGGTTAAGTCTTGTTTTGTTGTGTTTTTTTTCATAACCCCGATTCGGGACGTAACACAGACGTAAATTGTCATCTACAGTTTTTGGCTTGCAACCAGCTCTCACAACAACTGTAGCGTCACAACCACATAGATTGGCTTTTCATCCTTACCTAACACTTAAAACCTAACCGCAGTATCACTCACCTTATTATACCACTTAACATGGAGGGGGTAGAGTACAGAGACCTATGATCAAAGACAACCAGCCTTTTCATGTCTTCCACTTTAAATGATCACACCTCACAGCCATAAAGGAGGATAGAGTGTACCGCGTTCTTTAATCGATAGACAGGTACCACGTCCACGCCAGATATGGTGTAAGTCGGTGGATGCCACACCAGCCTTTTGTATCCATGGTGAGATTTCGCCAGCAATCAGTCTGCTGGGGCTGATGCAACTCCCCAAATAAGTGAATTTGTCAACACACTCAACTAATTCACTCTCTGTCTTTAAGCTAACAGTCAGAGTCATGCACCGTCATCTTACATTTGACAGGAGTGGGTCGCATACAAAATATTATCAAGATTTCTGCTCAAAGTGTTCAGGAAGCCGTGAATTTTGTCTGAGTCTTCACCTGGAAAAATAGTATCATCCGTATGCTCTAAATCGATAAAACTGATCCCTGGTATGTTACATCACATTTTACTTATTTTGATTACAGCTTGATGATACGCCGTATTTTCGGTACAAGTACTGCATTTTCAGCGTGTGATATCGGTAGCCCAAATTTCGCAGGCCAACCATAGATATGGCGGGTGTGCGTCGGCAGGGGATCGAACCTCGGACCATGTGCATGGTCGGCGAGAGTCCTAACCACTGTGCCACCGATGCACTAATAGGATGGACAGAAAAAAAGTAGCTCAACTTACCTATGACCACAAACTGAACACTTAAATGGTCTATAATAACCTTCAGTTGTATTTCCAGACAGGCTACTTAGACCAACACCACCGGCACTGACAGAACTACCAGCATTACTACCAATCCATGTAGTAGTCGAATTTGTTGACATCTCAGGAATTGATTCACTTAGATAACGATTACGGGATAATTTCAATCGATTCATATATTCATTGTATGTTTTCTTTGCATCTTCTAATTCTAAAGTAATTGTTGTAATATTTGTACGTTCAGGATGAGCAACCTGTGAATTATTTTTAGGCAAAATTAAAATGGTTGATTAAATATAAAATAAGTAGTATTTACAAAGTATGATGAGTTAATTCTATTTATTACCAAATAATATAACTATCAAGTATTAGTTTTGTAGGGATTTTGTTTGATTGTTTGGTTGGTTGGAGGATTTCATCATGAGCTGACTTACTTTACTTTACTTTACTTCGGCTATCTCCTACGGGAGGATGAGCCGGCTACATGATGTCCCCAGCATCGCTCGACCTTTGTTTGAGAGTGCAGTTCTAGCCTTTACACAACCAAGTGTGACCTACAAGGCAGTAGGAGTGGAGTAGGGAGTCCACTATCCATCGGCAGCCGGTGACCGGAGTCCGGTTCATTCGCCTTTTTGAATGGGGCCAGTAATCCAGGGCATCCAATAAGCCCTTTGTCCATACGTCTGCCAGTGAGCTCCGGTGAGCTTCATACGCCAGTCGTTGGAGGTTTGGAATTAGGGTTTAGCCATCTCCCTTAGACTGTCATCCAATGGATAGTCATGAGCTGCTGACACATGGGTTAGAGAACCATTGGAAAACCAACAGGGAATACTGGACAGCCGACTGCTTCTTCAGCCTAGTTTGAGACTCTTCATCAGGACGCGTTATGTCATGAATTGGCTGGCAGAAGTTAGAATTCATGGGCTGGCCATTGGATCAGTCGGGTCCCAGTGACTGCTTAATGGGTTTACCAGATAGCCCACCTTGTGCATACTGATGAAGAGTCCCAAGCTATGACGAAACAGTCGGATGTCCAGTACATTCTGCAGGTTTTCCAATGGTTCTCTAACTGATGTCAGTGCATGCTAAAATCCTCCAACCAATATAACTGCCATTCGTATTTACTCCTATTAGTAAATTAGTTGTTAAAGCCGAGTGTCATTGGTTCAGTGGTACAGTACTCGCCAACTACACCTCGCGTGGTCCAAGGTTCGAACCCGGCCAACGTACTCCTAAGCCTCGATTAAATGGTAAAGGCGGATGGGAAGAAAAAGGCTGTTAACACTCTGATAAGTTATCGTCGTTGTTGACTGGAGTGATGTTCATAATAATTCTGATTTACTAAGAGCAGTCAATCTGTCTCTCAGAGGATGAACAGTAGATGTGTCTAGGGTTAACTCGGTTTTTTGCAGTTTATACAGTTCGACATGAAATTTCATATATGAGTGGTATTCAATTGCTCAGCTACTAATTAGGCAATCAGTAGCACACATTGTCATGCATTTATGACTTACTAGTTCATCTATTCAAATCACTTACATTTTATTTCAATGTTTTACTTTTGTGTGAAACCAAGAGGGAAATTAAAGACTTAACAGAAACAAGAGAAATCTAAAGGAAGTCCTCTTTTTTACTCGGCCGACTGACTAGCACCGTTTCAACTATGAGCAGGGTGTGGCCAAGATCGTAACAGCACGAAAAACATTCATTGCGCTGAAATCCTTACATATATCTGCTGCACTGAGCATATCGAACACAATACAGATAATCAATACTAATGTCAAATTAATCAGTACTTCTGCATGGTTCACAGACTTGGCAAGCATTTCACAAAAAGAATTTGCAGCAGACTACCTCCTTCCCTGGTTCCATACTGAATATCAAATGGGTAGCTGGAAAGGCCCACAACAGAAAATTCAGCGAGGCGAATGGAGTAAACACAGGAATCAGACAAGGGTGCTCACTATCACCAATGATATTCCTAATTGTGGTGAACTGGATTATGCGCCAGACAGTGTGGTAAACGAGAAGACAGGGATATCCTGGACCAACGTGAAGAACCTAGAAGACCTGGATTTCGCGCGTGGATCATTTATGTTTGATGTCACACAAAATCGAAGACTTACAAGCGAAAACCGAAAAACTGGTCGAAGAAGCAGACGGCGAAGACAGAACTCCAGGTGAACATAGACAAGATGGAGGTTATGAGAATAACCAGCCAACAACAACAATAGCAACATCCACCGCCAATCACCATCAACAGGAGGGATTTGAAAGAGGCTAGTTACTTCATTCACTTATCTTGGGAGCATCGTCTCAAATACAGAAAGTCGTAACAGACGAGGATGTCAAATCGAGCGAGAATCGGGAAGGCGAGCGAGAAACACATTCATCAACCTGAAACCAATCTGGAAATCTTCCGCTGTCACTCAGCCAGGATCAACAACAAAATTCGGTCGGATTTTCAATACAAACAACATCAAGTCAGTCAATTCTTCTATACGGATTAGAAACTTGGCGGGTGGGTCACAAAGAATATTTCCAACAGTCTGTTGCAGACCTTTATCGACCAACAACTGTTTTCACTGGATCTATACTGAAGATCAGATGGCTCGGCCTGAAAGAATCACCACCAACAAGAAACTATGGAAGAAACAAAACAAGAACAAACCGATCGCCGCCCAACAAATATGCAGGAGAAAATGGGGATGGATTGAACATTCATGCATGAGGAGGCCGCTAGGTGACATCGCGTGCGCGTCAGGCCATTGCTCGAATGGAACCCGACAAAATGCGAAGCGGCGAGTGGGACATGTCCAAGGGTGGGTGACATGGAGGAGATCGTGTGAAGAGGAGTTGAAACAGTATGGACTAACTAACATGGATACAGGTGGAAAGTAGAGCAGAAGGAAGACAGAAGCAAGTGGAGATGTGCAGTTGAAGCCCTGTGTTCCACTAGGAACCCAAGGGAGCGATGATAATAATAAGCTGGAAGGACTAAGGAATAAAGGAACTCCACTACTAGGCGACAAACCTGTCAAAAACCCAATCCCCCGAAAAATATGCGAAAGAAAGTTGAGATAAGTTGGATATATACTGTGACGAGGCCGCTAAGTGACATTGCGTGCCAAGTGGTCGAGTGGAATCCGAATGGGAAATGATGAGTTCAGTATCTGCGGCTGATCGCGGATCGCATAATCTGAAGAATTCTTGTTAGAATAACTACTGTAACCTACCTAAAAGCCCACTTTGACAATATCACAAATAATTAATTAGAAAAGCCCTGACTAGACAGTTTATAACTTAATCGAAGAGAGGTGTATTTAGTGGATTAGTCCTACGCCTTGAATTGACCGACTCAAATAAATCATTTTGGATGCAAAAAAGAGAAAACAATCCCATATATACACCTACTTTTATATGCTTATTAATATCCCATTTCCAGTTGGAACGATGACCACAACCAGAACATTGAAATCGTTTCCATTGTTCGTCTTTTGAATTGTTATTATTATTATTGCTATTATTATTACCATTCATACTACTACTGTTGTTATTAGTAGTAGTGTCTGTACAAAAACTTTGACTTGAAAGACGATTATATGATGTAGACATTGGTGCAGATTTACGTCCACTATTTCGTGTCAGTAAACGATGAGATTCACGTCGTCTACCTGGTGTGAAAAAACGATTCACCTGCAATTGTTGTTGTTGCTGAACATGATGATGGTGGTGGTGGTGTTGAGAATGTCGTTGATGATCTTGACTTACTGCAGGCAGTGTTGATGATAACGGTGATGGTGATGATGATGATTTTATCGAATCCACTTCCATAGGAGGTAAAGACCATTCTATTGTTGGTCTGGTATCCTGCCAACAGTTCAATGAATTATTATTATTATTCGATTTAACAGTATACTTTAACAGTTCATCACTTGAGGCTGTATTCATCTCTGATGGAAAACAAGTATCCTTTTGACTTGTTGTTGTTGTAATTGTCGGTAATCCTATGGATGATTGATGGTGAACAAAAGATTTAAATATGCTTTGAAATGACATATTCGTAGATGGTGGTGTTGTTGTCAGTGTAGATATTGCTCCACAACAACTACTACTATTACTACCATTAACAGACGTTGTATTCATCAATGATGCCGGAGACATTGACGAGAGGATAGTAGACACTGGTGGAGTTGTCATACTCAGGATAATATCTGAATACGCTGCTGATGATGGTGGTAGAAATGATGCCGACAATTTGTCAGAAGCATTTTTATTCACTGAGAAAACATCATTCTGGTGTAAATCATGTGTTTGTTGGCTTTGTTGTTGGTGTTGTTGTTGTTGCCATGTTTGAAGTAAGCCTGTCATTAGAACTTGTTGTTGTAGATTGAATAGTAAATTCATAGCAGTTGTTGTTGCTGTTGGTGTTGGTGTGGTTGTTGTTGTTGCTGCTGCTGCTGATGGCGCCGCTGAAGAGGCATTCCCTTTCATCAAAGAAGGATCCGAAATCAATGAACCAATTGTATATGGTGAAATAATTGATGGATTACAACTACTATTATTATTATTATTATTACTATTATTGTAATCATTCAGTGGATGTGTAATAGACGGGAAATTACATCTAAGATCAGACAGACCAATGGATGGTATTGTTGTTGAGGATACAGAGTAAATATTCGAATTGGTTTCTGCTGATAAATTCGGTATAGGATGATTATACTGATGGATGTATTCTTCATTTAAGAATTTCAATGAGGTTGGAGATTTCGGTGATGATTGTACACGTGGAAACAACAGCGCAGTATTCTGTTAATTAAAAGAGATATTGGTTTCAGAAAAAAAAAGGATAGAATATATAAGTATATATAACGAACTGTTTAATATATATTCATAACAAAAGCATGCATTGAATAAAATAGCTTATACTCTACCTAACATACAGGAGTAGATGTAGCCAATACAACATGCACAGTGAAGAGGAGTACTTTGGCGAAAAAGCAGTCCATCTCATCTGCATTTTTTATCAAAGACAAAAAAAAAGGGATGGAGGATTTCATCATGAGATGACATCAGTTACAGAACCATTGGAATACCTGCCAGCGAGTACTGAACAGTTGTTTCATCCTAATTTGGGACTCTTCAACAGTACGCGTACGTTGAATTCGGTCCCAATGGTTGAATGGTCTACGAGCTCGCCAGTCTTGTAATTCGGGTTTCAACCCGAGTACTGTTGAAGAGTTCCAAATTACAAGGAGACAATTGACCATACGGCCTACTGGGGTTGTCCAAAGATTCTCTAATTGATGTCGGCTCCTGATGAAATTCTCCAACCAAACAAAATCCCTACAAAACCAATAAGTAGAAACAAACAAGATTTAGTACATATTACCAGACTCGATAACAAGGATATCTTTAAATTATGACTTTCTGTGGGGATTTAGAATGATTTCACTGTACATTTCGTCACGAACTGACACAAGTAAGAGATCTTTCATACAACCATAGAATACTGGAAATCTGTCTCATGCTAGAGCTTAGGACTCAGCACCGCACACTCACAACTACATCAGGAACTGAATCAGGGATCTTCAGGTTACGAGACTAAACTGACTGATTATTCAGTCACATCTGAGACTAAATTCAACTGCTTGTGAATTCTAACTTAGTCGACTAGAGATGTAGTGCAACGCCAAACCGATTTCTCCGCTGCAACACCTCTCCACTGGTCAGTAATCCCGTGACTGGATGGTAGTAGTACGCTGATGAAGACTCAGATTAAGACAAAGTAGATGTCCAGTGATCCGTGGATTTTAATGATCTTGGTTCATGACTAAAGCTTCATTGAGAAATAAATGTTTGTGGACAGAAAAAGACAGAAAAATAAAACAGTTGGGTAGTTTCATGTTCCTCATCAAGTGGTCAAAGCGATATTGTCTCTTCAGTCAAAACACGCAACTTAGGAGAGAGAGTTTCACCTTTAAAAACGATGCTACTTAATATTTGTTAGTAGTTAAATTAAAAATAAGAAATTATATTGGAATAACTTAATGTTAATTGTTATGATACCGAAAGAACTCAGGAAAATATAAAATACTTTTGCTTTATGCTGGGTGTATTATAACTGGTTAAGAGTGATTTTAAATTATAAAGCACTTCCCAACGATTGATTATATTAAAACTAAAATTTCTAATTTCAGTACTAGAAGCGTTTCGACTATTAATGAGATGTTGTTTTGGTTGATTTTTTGCTGTGCTTTGATGTGACTGTAGTGATGGGATTGATTTTCTGGAGTAGGGTTACCAACCCCAAGCCAAACTTTCCTTCATTTTCCAGTCTTATGACCAGCTAGAAAACTAGAGTACTAATGAATTAGGCCAGATCATTTCTTCCATATGGGTCAGGAACTTGGATACCAAACCTCAGGAAAATCATTTCCAACAGACCACTGTAAACTTTAATCAACCGCTGCCTTCGCTGGCTCAGTAGTGAAGCTCAGCAGACCGGTAAAAAAGAATCAGCGATAAGATACTGTGAGAACGAACCAATGAAGTAAAAACTGCTCAACAAATATTCCGAAGAAAATTTAAGCGGATCGACTACATGTTGAGTGAAATGGCATTCCGCGTATGCTTTTGAGTCAAACTGGTGTAGGAAACGACAAGTTTTGCTGTGCGTCAGACGTTGACATGTAGGAGATTATGTGAGAAGGAAAGGAGATCCTATCGGCAATTGTGAAACCATCTGCAGAGGCTCATGTTCACTCAGAACCCAAGGGAATAATAATAACAACACACATATTTTTGTTGACACTGACTAGAAGCGAAAACCATCATGAGCATTTCGTCCTATTTAAGACTCGCCGGATGCATGTACCTGCATTCCTCAGTGAATGATGGTATTCCCATTGATGCCGGAGCAGTTCTAAAACCAAAAGTTGTCTGCTTTAATCTCCATTGCGTAGAGGATAATGCTTCAACCGGTGTACGGTTTCAATGTCAGTGGGAGCAACATCACTCACTAGGAACATAGGAGTATCTAGCTGATGAGTCCCATATGGGACGAAATGCACCTCCTAGATTCCACTACTAGTCACCAATGTGAAAGGTTTTTTTCTGTCAAAGCTCGTCTACAACTAAGAGGTGTTTGGAATTATACTATCACTACAAACTAATGGGTTAAGATAGCAAAGTCGAAAACTACACACACACACACTTGCAAACATGCACGCATAGTTTAGTACAAACCAAACAAAACAAAAAATCTATTTGTTAGTTATCAGCAAAAAGAGAAATAATATTCGTGCATATTAAGAGAAAAAACAAACAAACCAACAAAAGTAGTGTGATGTTTTGTCTCAAAAATGCGCTCGCTATATATATGAATATATTCACAACAACAAGAAAGACTGGACAACATTCATACGATGAAAACTACATATTGTATAGAATATACATAGTGCTATTATTATTAATATTATTATTGTTATTCTCATGAATGTTAGGTAATAACAATAATAATAATAATAGTAGCAAACATTCATGACTGACTTGTAATCATCATATTTAGCGCCTAAAAGTTGAAATAAACAATTAATAAAGTTAGATAGACTAAATTTAAATGACACTGGTGACTTTGTTGATCAAAAACTCTTGCTTAGTACCATTTTGTGCATAGTATACGAAATATGTATACCACCTTAACAAATCATATAGACATATCGTACTGATTTATGCATAAATCAGTAGTAAGTGTATTGATCGTAATTCTTTGAAGAAATATAGCTCCAGAGGTTCTAGATGCACGACGAAGCTGGAAATACGCACACACACACGCATACACGCACACTGTCTGTCTGTCTATCCATCTGGTAGACTTAAACCAACTCTGTAAATAACACTAAACGATAAGTCTGTTGAAATGTTGTTGAATGGTTATCACTGGAGTTCAACTGAAACACAGAACTGGAACTATCCAGAAAATAAAATCACATTATTAGCGCCACCTAAGCATTAAATCCTTTGATAATTAATATCTTAGATTAGATCTCTAGAGATCTCCAATTTTGCTGTCATGCAGTCATTGTCGATGCCCGACCGATAGCTGCTACCTTGACGTGGTGGTCTGGCTTGCACATCACGATGACCCAACAAGCTACACTGGCTGGAACAAATGTTCCTGCAGGTCCTACCATGCCAGGAAGGTTGTTAGGATAACGATTAGACTAAAGGCAGTTACCGGCATAGTGTAAGAATCTTTTCTCAGGAATTAGAAATTCTTCGTCTAATTTTTCAGTAAAGAATATTCTTTTAGCTCTACAAAACAAACTTTTGACCAGTGGTCATTTATGGGTAACTGGACAGGAGGTAAATCTCAAATCCGAACAGCTTAGTGGTAACGTCTCTAAACTCGTTGGAATCTCAAAGGAGACGTAAATTCTTTCAGGATCACAGATACACCTTGCTGACTGACGAGTACCAACAATCACGAAAGCTAGGTTAGCCATACCTTCCCGCTGATTGCCCGCAACCACCTAAAATGACAGTAATAGTTCCGAGTTCATCATATTATGACGAGCTACCGCCCAGTACAGTGGTCACATTGCAAACTTGACTGATAGAATTCAGTCTGCCAATACGAAAGGGGTTTAATGAGCTACTAATTGCATCTTATTCTACACAAACAGATGAGTACAGAGAACACTCCTTTATGTTTAATATAAATATTTACAATACACCAAAAGATAATAGAATAAATAAATAAACTCCTGAGGGGAGGCACAAATTACCTTGATTTCTTCATCCTTAAAATTGTTACTATTATTATTATTATTCTGAGAATAACCAATTGAAAGATCAATCGGTACTGTATCACTAATTAAAGCCTCTTTCTCAGCGATTATTAACGAAGAAGTAGAACAAGAAGACTCATTATTATGTTGACCAACTGATTGTTTCATTGTTGAATGATAAGCAATTAAATTCAACGGGCTTGCTTCATCTTTCTCAGCCATTGCAATTTCACTCAACCTTGAATACTTTTTCTGATCACATTCTCCTAAGGATAAACCATTTCCATTAGAATTTGGTGAAATTGACGATATCGATGATGATGAGGAGGAGGAGGCCGACGCCGACGTCGACAATATCTGAGATTGTGTTGGCGTTAACTGTGGTTGACTGAACAACTTCAATTGTTGTTGTTGTTGCTGTTGGTGGTGTTGCAGTTGAAGTTGTTGATGACCACCAATAGGAAGAAATGATACAATCTGTGAAGAATCGATCCATGTGAATGGTTGTAGTCTTGAAGAACACGAAGATAACACAGACGTTGTAGTAGTTGTTGTTGTAGATGAAATGCATGTAGATGCTGGAAGTGTCACTGACGACAGTCTGACGACAGATGGCGATGTTGATGTCATCGCCATTGGTGACATTGATGATGATGAGGATGATGACGGTGTGAATTTCTCCTCATCACAAGTCTCTGTCGTGGTGGTGGTGGTGGTGGTGGCGGTAGCCGTACTTGTCGCAGTTACAGTCGAAGTGTTAATTATTGTAATTGGTAGTTGGTTACACTCTGGATGTTGTTTTTTCATATGTTTTGTAATATCCCATTTATAATTACTACGTTGTCGACAAATTGGACATTGAAATTGTTTTAAGTTGATATGACTAGCCATGTGATTTTTTAATTTACTCTGATTTTGAGCTTGATACGAGCAGATATCACATATAAGGTTATTATTATTACTATTATCTTTAGTAAATGGTATACAACTCTGTGACAGACTGCCGTAGAGATTACTTTGGAGTGTAGGATTCATAACAGTCTCATCATTCATTGTCACAACTGTAGTGTTTGTAGTACTATAGGGATGAGCAATCATAGTAGTATTGCCTTGTTCATTACTATATACAGAAGAATTTTTGCTTTTAGAAGCCTTTTCATCTGATCTCATTGTACTGCTGACTTTAATAACATTCTCCATGGGATTATTGTCTAAATTTTCTATATCAATAGCTTTATGAGCAGTACTCATCATATTTGTAAGAGATGTAGTAGTCGTGGGATTTGAGTTAGTACTCGTGTTAATTTTTTGTTCCTCTTCATCATTTTGTAGAAAATTGTACTGTTCACTAAGATTTTCTCCATCACTACTCTCCGTAGTGATATCAAATTGTGAAATCGAGTAATTCGAAGAGTTACATTCGTCACCAGGTATCGTTGTTGTCATTGCTATCGCTGATGCTGATGCAGATCGTGTACCAGCATTATTCTTGAACTGTGACATAATTTTTATTAATTCTGTTTCACATGTAAAACGTTCTCTATGATGTGATTCCATATGACGTTTTAAATCACCTTTCCATGCACTACGATATGGACAAAAGACACAAATAAAGGGTTTTACACCCCAATGTAATCTCATATGACGATTTAGCTCACTCTGATATTTAGCAACATATTTACAATGACTACAACAAAAACTGCCAGCTTTACCATTACGTGAATTTTCACGTGATTTTTGCATACCATGCACAGAACGTAAATGTTCAGTTAAATCACCATGCCAGGGAAAAGTTGTTGGACAGATGTTACACCTAATAAGAAAGATTTAAAAGAAAAAATAATAATTAAAAAAAAAAGATAAAGAATGCAATTTCACAGGAGGAGAGTTCAACACAAACAAGTTAACTTGATTGAATAGAGGCAAGAACAAAAATAGTGTTCAAGTGTTGGTTTGTAGGGATTCGGTTGATTGGTTACAGGATTTCATCATTGGTTAGAGAACCATTGGAAAACCAACAGGGAGTACTACCAGAAAGCTGGCTGTTTCGTCAGCCTAGTTTGGGAACTCTTCATCAGTACCCGCCCACCACCCACCTCCAGGGTTCGAACCCATGATCTTCTTTCCAGTTACAAGGAATGAAATCCTGTAACCAATCAATCGGATCTATCGGAAAACATGCTCTTTAGTGCAGTCAAAAGTCGACAGATACCCACCTCTCTCATGTTAATTCCAACTGTGTACACAAATTTACGTTTATCTGCAGGAGTAGCTACAACACTGCGAGAACAGAAAGAAGAACACACCTCTGATTTTCTGAACACGTGCCAAAAAGCCTACGTCTCAAAGAAACAAACTGAAAAACCTGGGAGTACTAGACAGCTGTTTCGCCAACCTAGTTTGTGATTCTTCACAGTACGCACCCCCCCACGGTTCGAACCCACGACCTTCTGGTTACAAGGCTAGCGAGCTCGTAAACCATTAAGCAGCCACTGGGACCCGACTATTCCAATGGCCCGTCCATTAATTCTAACTTCTACCAGCCATTTCATAACATAGCGCGACCACTTCGCAAAATGTCTTCTTAGATGAGTTACTGCCTCACCTTCAACCTGCTGTACCCTGCTGGTCACGGCTTCCCACTAGAACCCCAGGTAACTACCTCTACCTGAATAGGGCCAGTCGCTAGTGAGCATCAGATTAATTTTCAAGTATTGGTTTTTTTGGGGGGGAGATTTTTGTTTGCTTGATTGCATGGAGGATTTCATCATGAGCTGACATCAGTTAGAGAACCACTGGAAAACCACTAGGGAGTACTGGACAGCTGTTTCGTCAGCCTAGTTTGAGACTCTTCAGCAGTACGCACCCAACGGGGTTTGAACCCGGTGTCAACTAATGACGAAATCCTCCATGCAATCAAACAAAATCCCTACAAAACCAATACTAGAAAATTCATGAGTTCCCCTGGGCACCTTGTAGGTTATAATGACCGTGATCAACTTAAAGGTTACTTACTGGTCAGATTATTTTACTTTCTCTATGAGATCACCACAAAAAAAGACGAATCATAATAATTTTATATATTCAAAGTACTAATAAAGGTCAAATGTAGAAAAAAAGATATCCGAGTTATGAACTTTATGAATGTTTATGGAATGTTCTTCATGAGTTGTTTTTTGCACAGCTCGGGTTATTTTGATATCATAATAATAATAATAACAGAGATTACTCAATGTAATATTAAACTATGTTTCTGTACTACTCTGAGCTATTGAGTACCATTAAGATAAGAAATAGTCTAGAGAAGACATCGATTACTTTCAAAACTGAATAATACTAATAATAATTATTATTATCAAGAGTTGGTTTAAGGATTAGATTTACTTTTACGAGTTTGACTACTGAGTGAAATCAGTTAGAGAACGATTGAAAACCAGGGCGGAGTGCTGGGCAACTTCATGAACTCGTTCATGAAGCCGGCTCATCCTCCCGTAGGAGATAGCCGAAGTAAAGTAAAGTAAGTAAGTAAGTTTCGTCCTAGTCTGGAACTCTCTATGAATACGCACCCACTGCCATAGTTCGAACCCACGACCTTCCGGTGACAAGGTAAGCCGGCTCACAGACCATTCAGCCACTGGGACCCGATTCAGTAGTCAGTCCATGAATTCTAACTGCTACCAATTCGCGATTTAGCGCGACCGCCAACCAATGTCATCAGTGGGAAATCCAACCTCATTCCCTGCTGGTTGGACTTCACTAGTCATGACTTTTCACTAGAAATCCAAGAAACTACGTTATGTAGCAAGTCACTAACGAGCATCATATTAATTTTCTACAGTTGGTTTGTAAGGATCAGTTTTTGTTTTTACGAGTTAGACTAAGGATTGATGACAGTTAGAGAATCATTGAAAACCAGGGTGGAGAGAGAACTGCTCAATTGTTTCGTCCTAGTTCGGGACTCAATACAGCACACACACACACACACCACCAGAGTTCGAACCCAGGACCTTCCGGTGACAAGGCAAGCCGGCTCACAGACCATTCAACCACTGGGACCAGACACCTCACTGGCCAGCGCATGAATTCTAACTTCTACCAATTCGTGATTTAGCGCGACCATCATCGTTATTATTATCTAAGTGGAAGACTGATTGATAAGCCTGAACACGGTTGAATAATCATCGTTTTAGCGTATTTTTTAATCAAATCTACTTTTTTTTTCTTTTTTTTATTCCTTTACGTTTCCAGTGGAACATAGGGAGCTTCAAGCTAGAGGCCTTAAAGTTTCGGTAACAGTGGTGTTTATTACTTTTATGGGATGGGATTGCTACCTTCATGCTAGCCTCAACCTTCCCTTTCTGCCGACTCTACACTACTGGCTTAGAGAGGTGAAGGAGTGCGTCGGCCATATGAGTGGGCAACAAGCATTCTACCAATATACCACCGACGCACCTACTCAAATTTATTCAAGTAATATATAATATGTAACCATAAAATTCGAAAGCAGTACATATCACTGTGAAACATTACTACCCGAGGGTCTGAGAGAAGATACTTCACTTATTGAATTGAATTCTTGATTTTCCCGTCGATTGATTGGACCGAAGTGTTCGGTCTCAGGTTGACATGTCGGCTTCTTGTGCAGATGCTTCGACGATGTCTGGGGATTTGATTTGTATACAATTGGTGGATGGTGGCTAGCAGTGGAATCCAGGATGCGCATTTCGTCCTAATTGGGACTCGTCAGCTGGATGTACCTGCATTTCTCAGTGAGTGATGATGCTCCCACCGAGGCTCGAACCCAGTGCCCATAGTTTCGAACGCCAAAGCGTTATCCACCAGACCATGGGCACTGGGTTCGAGCCTCGGTGGGAACATCATCACTCACTGAGAAATGCAGGTACATCCAGCTGAAGAGTCCCAATTAGGACGAAATGCGCATCCTGGATTCCACTGCTAGCCACCATCCACCAATTGTATACAAAGATACTTCACTGATTACAGTTTTGCCAGGATTTTCTTGACTTATTCAAGTAAAACTTCACAGAGAAGACACTTAGCTATAGGATTAGAGCTATTTGCATACGACATATTAATTGAAACAAAAGATTGAATTCTATCAGTCAGTCGGGTTTGCAATGTGGCCACCATGCCACTAGGTAGCTCGCCATCACGGTGCATATTGATAGAATTCAGCCTGCACCAAACAGCAAGGACTAGACACACCACAATAGTTCCTAGTGTCCAATCAAAGTATCCACTACAGTCTTACAGGAGGCCAACTGTGAGACTGAATAGCTCAGTGAAAACGTCTCTGACTGCAGGCGGCACTGGGTGACACGGGTTTGAATCTCAGAAGACGGATATAAGTTTCTTCAAGTTGATTGCAGATAAGCCTTTCTGACTTGTGAGTGCCAACTAGCACGCGAAACCTAGGTAAGGTAGGGCGCTTCCTGTGGCCCACTGCCTCCAACTATCTAATATCATCAAATCAATAAAGCCAGTTATTCTTGTATAGATTAACGACAAGTTTTGATTGAAACGAATACCCAAGTGTATAAAAAAAACGTGGTTCTCTTTAGCCCCAGAGTGTGTCTACTGAACTATGACTCAAAGTTTGATGAAAATTTATGAAAATTACAAATTTCAGTTGGGACACCGTCACCCACTCACTCACTCACTCATTCACTCAACACATCCAGGTACATCCAGTTAACGAATTGGAAATAGAAAGAACGCAATACGTCATACGAGTCATGCATTCCACTGCCTCTCTATTTTTAATGGTACAATATAATTCAAAATATACTTACCGATAACGTCTTCGCGAATCAACTTTTTTCACAACAGGTTGACTAAAATTCTCTCCTACTACTACTGTAGGTGTACTACTCTTCACTCCTGTTGCTGTTATACTTGTCATCGTTGACATTGGAGGAGATAATAGCGATGAGGATGACGACGTGGATGTGGATAAAGATATGGATGACTCTAACGGTAATGATTTCTCTTTATCTCTCATAGTTGATCTAACACTTTTATTAATTGGGGAATATAATTTAACTTTTTCTAATTGTTTAAATTTATGCAGATTATTTAAAGTTTTTGAGGAAGATTTCAAGTCCAGTGAAGAAGAAGAAGACGAAGGAGAGTATTCATTGGAGGTATTAATGATAGGAAGATTTGTGTTGTCATTATTAATATTATTACTACTATTTAACATAGATATTTGAGTAGTATCTGATAGTGTTAAACTAGAATTGATATAATTTTTATTATTATATACACTATTTAAATGATCCACATCTTCTTCTTTAGAGATTATATTCAATTGTTCATTCAATGGGAATAAAGGATTCAGTAACTCATTGTTAGACCATAATTTAACACGTTGAGGAGTAGAGGCGGCTTGTAGAGTGAATGGATTACATGAGGAAGAAGAAGTATAGTCATTATTATTATTATTCTTGTGTTGAAGTTCTGTTTGTTCATCAGCTTGCTGTTTCTGCTGTCCTTGTCGTTGATAATAATCGTAATAATCATAAGTCGAATGATTATTGCTGGGATTATTTTCGTTGACTTGTTGAAGGATTGATGAATTTTGAGAATGTTGTACACTTGCTGGCGTTGTTGCCATAGTAGTACATACTTCTCCATGAACTAATTCCATATGTTCATCTTGTCTTCGTGGTGAAGATGCAGAGAAACCACACACTGGGCATATACACATTGTAACATCTGCATCTTCGGCATTACTACTATGAGTGTTATGCCCAGATACATTTGTAAGAGGAGTTGTTGTAGCAGAAGTATTAAGCGTAGTCGTGGCAGTTGTCGTCGTCGCCGTAGTACTCGTATGTTCAATACTTCCATTACTATTATTACTACTAGTACTGGTAGTTGTTGTTGTTGTTGTTGTGGGACTACATATACTACTTATATTATTACTAGTAATACTACTATTTGAAGTGTGTATTGCGCTGTCTGCATGATTTGATATTTCTAAATTCATAACAACAACACCATTCGATGTACCTGTTTATATACAAGAAAAAGTAGAAACAATAGAAATTAATTTATCCGTTAAATATACCTTATTAAAAAAAATATGTAAGCAATAGAATAGTAGTGCGATAGTCAGTCTGCCTGTCTGTCTATCTTTCTACCCATCTATTCATCTATCTATCTATTAATCAGTCAGTCAGTCAATCGATCAAGCAGACAGGCAGGCAGTCAATCCTACTATCAGTTAGTCTATCAATCTATGCTAGAGTGTAATGGTTATCCAATCAGCAATTAGTTGGTTGAACATAATTTCTATAGCAAACAGAAATGAGTAGTATGGACTTTATTCAGTGATTTTTTCTACTTCTTCTGTCTTTTATGCATCTCGTAAGAAAATGTTATATTTTCTAACAGATAAAAGACGTACGTATACATGAATATTGAATAAGTAATCAATCACAAAAGCAAACTAACACTAACTGATTAACAAATATGAAAATTATATATGGTCCTTTTATTCGATTCGACGTGTAAGCGAACACAATCATCATTATCATTATCACCGGAGCAGAAAAAATCAATCTGAGAGTGTGGAAACAAATCTAGAAGTGTACATATTGTGTACTACATTCGTTATTGCGTGGGTTTGCCTCTGTGTGTGTGTCTGTCTGGATGTTTATGTGTGCAAAAGAGAGATTCGGAGAGACACTCTCTACAATTGAAATGAGCAAAATGAGATAGACAGAGAGAGAGAGAGGTAGGAACACAACAAAAATGTTTCTTCTCTGCAATTAATGCAGATTTTCTGTTGCCTAGTTGAATACCAAAAGTGTATTCTACGATAACAATGGTGAAGACAAAAACAAGAAAAACAATAACAACCACCACCACCACAACAACAACAAGAGAAAAACGATCGAAAGGTGATAATATAGTACATTCGCATTTATTTTATCGAAAGAAATGTGAATGAGTAAATTTTAAGAGTGTTGCTTTACAGGCATTTAACTGACCGCTGAAGAGTCACAAACTAGGACGAAACAGTTGTACGTACTCCTTGCAGGTTTTCCAATAGTTCTCTAATTGATGAAATCCTCCAACCAATCAAAAAAAATCCCTACAAAACCACTACTTGATCACTAATCCACATCACATCAATTATAGAATCCATGGAAATCAGTAGAGAGTGCTGGAGAGTTGTTTTCCTCCTAGTCAGAAGTACATACGACGCATGATCTCACCACAAGCACCACCAGGAATTGAACCTAGAATCTTTAATTATTATTAATTTTAATACATAACTCTGGTGTCTCTTCATTTGCGGATAAATCTTTGGCCTTTTACTAAAGATTTCCGTGGAAAGGCGCACAATACAACGAGTCTTATCTCATTTTTTTTCAGCTCTGCCTTCTGACAGAGTATTTTGTGTGTGCGCCGGTGGCATGTCGGTTAGGACTCTCGTCGACCAATGCATATGGTCCAAAGTTCGATGCCCAGCCAACGCACTGATATCAATAGTTGGCCTGCTAAACTTGGGCTAGCAATATCACATTGCTGAGAAAGAAAAGAAAATTTTCCACTTTAATTAATTGAACCGAAATTCTCGCGGTCTTTGTTTGACAAATCAAGTCTTTGTGAGACAAATTCGACGATATCTGTGGATTAACTTGAAGTAATTTTGTAGGTGGTGACAAGTGGTGGAATCCATGATGCATAGAACATTTCAGTCCAATCAGTCAACTGGAAAATAATACAGTAGCTGACACTCGTCGCTTATCGGAGACGCCGGCGGTCTGCTTAAATCACTGGGTTACTAGAATTTTCATCCATCAAAATGCTTAGAGTCTTCTCCATTTCTTATTGTTTTATTTGTTCAATTTCATCAAATAACCAATACATAAACCCGCACGCATATTTAATCAGTTTCCTACTATACGCTATGAAATTCTTGAAGGAATTGATGGGAAATGTACAGTATTGGTTTTCCCTTCATCATATGCAACTAAACTACAACAAATAAATGTACTTCAGATTATTGTTTTATATTGCTTGGAGGATTTTATCATGATATGACATTAGTTTGAAAACCAATGGAGAATTAACAGGGAGTACTGGACAGCCGACTGTTTCGTCAGCCTAGTTTGGGCCTCTTCATCAATACACACCCACCCCTACATTTCGAACCTAGGACCTTCTGGTTATAAGGGATTTCATAAGAGAATCATTAGCAGCCAAGAGAATTGGAGAGCGGGTCCTCTGTTTTCCTAGTTGGATAAAATCTAACAGTTTAATACACCTGTTATGCAAACAAAGGTAGAACCTCAAGCGTACTTGCCTAAATGACCTAGTAGTGGATACTGACGCTTGAGTGTTTTAAACGATGCGTCTTGAGTTCGAGTCCCAGAGGACTGAGGCAACACCATCACTTACTCACTCACTGGGGAATGCAGGTACATCCATCCATCAGATGATGAGACCCAAACCAGGACGAAACGCTCACTATTAGTGTCAGTCAACCAACATCCATCAAAAATTACTTCAAAAATACATTTTAAAAAAACAAATATGAGAGAATCATCTGTTGTACAATGAAAAAGCACAACAGCCTGATCATTCTATCAGCTGTAATAATAATAATAATAATAATAATAATAATTAACTTGTGCACATAATTAATTAGGACACCCTACTGTGTGTGTGGGGGGGGGTGGTGGCGGATAAGTTATAACAATAAATGATAATGATTTGTAGTCAATAATTGTTATCGCATATATATTAAGTTTACTGACAAATTAACCCCCTCCCCAACACACACGCACACACACACTTTTGGGTTCCTATATTCATGAGAAAGCTAACATATGTGCTCTTATATATTAGTGGTATAAAACACTCCCCCCCCCACTCTATCCAGTTTTTACACCGGATAAAAACTTTCTACTCATCAATGGTGCTGTGGTGTATGTGCATGTACGTGAGAAAATTAAGACACTGTGATCTACTACTTCTTGGAGGATGCATCATATCAGCTGTGTGTCTAGATTGATTAAAAACTTCTTCAATGAAATTTTTAATTTTTTTTGATCAGATCACAGCACTTTAGAACAAAATATATCACAGAATGAACATGATTCAACTTGATTATAACGACTAATTTATAACCGCCTACTCAACGACACACAAGTCCGCTTTTTTGTCTTTGCATAAATACACACATATAAAGGTCAACAGTGTAGACGACAAGAGTACACCTATGCTCATTATAAGTACACACACACACACACACAAACACGCATAACAAGGATGATGATTCCATCAGGTGTTGTATGAAGGAAATAATCACACACACACACACACACAAAATAAAAGTCAGCTGTGAGTAACAGTTATTAACAATACGACGAATAACAGTAATTTGGTGTACTCTCTCTCTCTCTCTCTCAACACTACACCTCAGTGTTTCTTGGTCACTCCCCACCCCCTGCTCTCCCTTTTTTGAAAGTGAAATATAATGAAGAATAAAAGTATGTGATGAAACGGTAAGTTTTCAGGATGACCGAGAATCGGGAAAGCAAGGAACACATTCACTCATCAACCTGAAACCAATCTGGAAATCTTCATCACTCAGCCAGCATCAACAACAAAATTCACTCGGATTTTCAGTACAAAGAAAGCCAAGTCAGTCAGTTCTTCTATACGGAACGCATCAGAAACTTGGCGGGTGGGTCACAAAGAATATTTCCAACAGCCTGTTGCATGCAGACCTTCATCAACCAACAACTGTCTTCGCTGGCTCCATACTGAAGATCAGATGGCCGGGCCAGAAAGAAAGAATCACCAACAAGAAACTCTGACTGGGAACAAACAAAACAAAACAAGAACCAATCGCCCAACAACCAACAAATATGCAGGAGAAAGTGTAGATGACACATTGGACACTCGTGGCTGAGAAGGCCGGCCGTTGGGTGACATCGTGCGTTGAATGGAACCGGACAGAATGGGAAGTGGCGAGTGAGACGTCAGTGCAAGGTTGACATGGAGGAGATCGTCTGAAGAGGAGTTGAAACAGTATGGACTAACTAACATGGATACAGGTGGAAAGTACAGCAGAAGGAAGACAGAAGTGGCAAGTGGAGATGTGCAGTTGAAGCCCTACGTTCCACTAGGAACCCAAGGGAACAATAATAATAATACTTTGACAAGACTACTAAAGACGCTAGTTTATCCTACAATTATTATTACTACTTTGCAGACGATTTATGTCTAATGTCATACAAACTATCAGAAGAAGGCCGACAGACAGACAGACAGACAGAGAAGGCAGGACTTCAGCTGAACATAGAGAAAACACGGGTGATGGAGATAACCAGTCAACAACTACAACAACAGCAAATACCAGTCACGAAGTCCCACCCTTCACTTATCTAGCTAGGAAGAATTCATTTCAACTACAAGCGGCCAGCACAGATGAGGATGCCAAAATCGGCTTGTAAATCTTCACAGAATAAAGAATGAAATTCGGATGTTCAGACTGAATGTCAAGTCAATTCACCTATATAGGTTAGAAACTTCACATGTCATACGAAGAATTATCAATCAACTTCAGTGGGCACCTGAATAATATCGATTAGTGAAGAAACTTAAAAATGTTTAATGACCAAGCTGCCACGGATAGCTATGGTTCATTAGACATCTTATTATCATCATTATTATTCCCTTGATTTCCGAGTGACTGACTTACTGGCTGACTGGTTTCAGCATAGAACATTGCACAGGAGTGAACCAATTCGGGTTGCCACACCCCCCATGTAGAGTAAAAAGAGAGATTGAAAATAAAGAGAGATAATAAATAGGAAAATATAAGACAAACTGAATAGTAATATGGATATGACAAGTAAATCATACAGTGAATGTATCTGCGCCAGCCATTGAGAAAGACGATTTTGAGCCATATCATCGAAAATTGTTTCCAACCTTCATTGGTTCTTACCATTCTGAGGACCCCACAACCAGTCAGGAAGTCTAGACCT